CAGGTGGATTAATTTTTATTTCACAAATCAGGTGCTAATTAAGTTTTAATAATTATAATTAATAAAAATTTAATTACAAGAGATTTGTGAAATAAAAATTAATCCACCTGATTTTTGAAAATGAAACTTTAAAAGTAGATTTCTAGGTAATTTTCTCATATTAATTTTGTCTAACGAACCTAGAGGATAGAAATTTATTGCCCAAAATCGAGGTTATAAAGGGCCGAGACAAACCCGAAGGATCGAAAGCGATTTGTTTACATTCTAGGTTAAAGTATCTCAAGAACAATTTCAACAATTAGGAATTGGCTCTAGTATTTTTGGTGTTAGGAGAAATTTGTCAAGCTTTTCTTGACTCTGGTTGCCTGTGTAAAGTCATGTTGGTAGAAAGTTTACAATTGATAGTATCACAACTATGAAACTGCTCTTCGAAGATAATTAATAATCCAATATTGCAGTTCTTGATGTCTATTGGCTATCACAATTAGTAGTAAATAAAAAAACAAATTGGTCCATGCTAAAATCCTATTTGTTGTACAATCTGCATGCTCCGGAAAAAATTTCCAGGATATTGCCAGTTTAGAATCTCTGTAACAATAATTCAAGCTGCACAAGACGGCTAGCAATTGTGAATACACTCGAAAGGAAGTTCAGAGTAAGGTGAAGGACGCGGCGCACGGTTACTCGTGTAACATATAATTAACAAGGCAAAATAACAATTCCGATGAAGGGTAAAATTCATCTATTTGATCATCGAAGTACAATTCAAAAATGACGTTGCTGACTGCAATATTTTTTGCTCATCAAAAATTTCATCTAACAAGTGAACACCAAAAGCTAGAGAACAACAACTAAAAAAATAAAAGCCCTTCAAGCAGAAACTAAAGCACCCTAATGAAAGCTATTGAAGTCGTGACACCCTTTAGTCAAAGAGACTGAAGCCCATATCCTGCAGCAAGTGCAAAAACAGAAAATGTGGATCTGTATCAGAGTTGCAGAAAGGAGGAAAAACAGAAGATAAACATTGCTTATGTGCATGTAAAAATAACAAAGCAGATGATCACAATATAAACTACACCTCGAAGGTCAAATATGAGTGGATGCAGTGTGATGTTCTAGTGGATAAATATGATGAAGGATTACGTTTGGTCAGAAGTCAGCACTTGGAAGTATAAATCCCAAAGGAATTATTCCATGATACACAGTTTTAGTTAATGTAGAAAAATTATAGCAACGGGGGACCATTATATGAATAGGAGTTATGATGTCCTGGTGGATAAAATGAACTGTTTCTAGTGAAAATATCGGGCGACCATTACGAGTAAGAAATTGCATTAGGAAACCAAAGGAACTATTTTCATAATACACATTCAATGCTACTCAAACCAATCAAAAACTTCACTTGAAATCCCATATAACGATTGAATTCAATTTAAAGAGGATTTCAACACAGTTGAACTCTTCAAAGAGAGTGAATACTGGGAGTTGAACAACTAGATATAATAACCATTCTAAATGCAATAACTTGTAGAAAGACTTAGCATCATTTGATTCCACTTTACTGGGAGTTGAACAACTAGATATGATAACCTTTTTAATGCAATTAGTTGTAGAATGACTTACATCATCTGATTCCTCTTTCTCCTCCACCTTTTCCTCTTTCTTGGGCTCAGCTGCAGCTGAAGCAGCTGCACCACCAGTAGCACCAGCAACAGAAGCAGCCACTGCAACAGCACCACCTCCAGCAGGTACAGATGCCAACTTCTCTCTTCCAGCTGCAATGAGCTCTGTTATATCTTTTCCCTGAACTTGCGTCAAAAGAAGCCCAATCTGGTTATCATCGGCTTCAGCTCCAACTACAAATAAAATGGTAAGAGTTAAATAACAGTTGGAAGATCTCTGTCAATGCTGAACAGAATCATTGATTCTTGTGGGGAAAAAAATGCAAAAACTTGTAACCAAAATGTATCCTTAAAGAGTAAGGCAAAAATAACTTAATGAAGGGAATTCTTGTGGGTGAATTAGAATTTTAAACAAAAAATTTTTTTTGATAACCGTGGATGTCTGGGCCAGCTTGAGCGCACCTCGACTAATTCCACTGGGCCCTGAAGTTTACGGCCGGGTACTCACTTCAGTGACCCTGAGGGGACTCGAACTGGTGACCATTGGGGAGCAAACCCAAAACCTGACCAATTGAGCAACCCCTCAAGGTTGAATTTCAAACAAATTCAATCAAATACATACGGTGATAGCTAAAACAAAGCAAACCAGCCACATACTTGACATAAAATTACTTTAAGATTCAATTGCTGGTGCAAGTGTTTATACCAGACACATACACCGGGGCAAACTCAATAATAAGATAACGCACACCTCTAAACAATTGTAATAGGCTTTCATGCCAAAATTATCCTCAAAAACATTACAAGTACATAATCATTTACAAAATTAAATTGCTCCTTACAAATTTCTCATAATTATATTCAACAGTCAGCTTTAATCATTTAAACATCGGAGCACCATAAAATTCAAAAACAACACACACTCAAGTTCATTCATCACAAACAGCTGAAGTAAACACTTATCACCATAATTTTCTAGCCTTTATGACAATATAACTATTTAATGCACAATCAATCTCACATGCTCAGAAAATAGATCAATAAAAATCCTAATGCAACTTTTGTTACGTTAATTAATGATACAATTTTTTTATTTTTAAAAAAAATCATAATTAACACACTATACTTAAAAACGCATATATACGCAGAACGCACAATTCAAGTGTATATTAATGTGGAAGAATGAGAACACAAGTACCAGAGCTGAGGATATCCTTCAAATCATCGGTGGAAGGGCAGGCATTGCCTCCCAAAACGGCTAGCAAGTATGCTGCTACAACCTTCATCTCTGCTTACAGATACAAACAAATGTACAACAAGTAAATATATAAAAATTCACATACGCCAAAAAAATTGCATTAATTAGTACAGAATGTACACGGTGATGACATTTCTCAAACACAAAGAACTTACTGTTTGTGAGAGAGATTATGGGTGCCGGCCGCGCCAAATTGGGAGGAGACGAGCGTGTACTCTGTGAGGGTTAAATATACAAGGGGGGGCTAGGGTTTTGGTTGGCTAACGCTGATCTGGTTTTCTGCATTTTGGGCGGGTCTTAGATCCGGGTTAAAATTTATGGTCCATGGGTCCGAAACGTGAAAATTATGGATAATTGAGTAGTATTCCATTATGAAGGATAATTCGAGATAACTTGATAGAAAGTAATTTGAGTATTTATAAATTGTTAATAAATATGAGTATCTTCAATCGTTGCTTTGTTGCACTTGTCTTTTTAATAACATTCTTATATTCAACTTTACATTAATTAGCACATTTTGACTTGACGACCGTTTTCATTGAAAAAATTGTTAGAAAGGCATAAAATGATTTATTTGTCTCTCATACTTTTAAATGAGCCAAAAAAGGAAGGAAAAAAAAAAAGTTCCAACAAATATTTATCCATCATTTTAGAGTATGTTAATAAAGTATTTGCATAAAAATCATTATCAAAGACAAGATGTGCTAATCAATTGAAAGTAAAATATAAGAATGGTACACCGCGATATGAATACTTAGATGATAGTACCCTCCCAGCAGCATCATCTCTTGCACTTATCCTAGCAAAATAATGTAGTCAAAAATTGACAAATTCAAAAACATTAAATATATGTTTGGCGCCCATTTTTCAAAAACTCATTATTTTTAAATTTATTTTCAATCACACATTCTTCCATAACAAAATTTTTCACGTAAATTGAAAAAAAGAAATTGGCACAATGATGATTACTTTTGTTGATTGGATTATTGTGTTGGGCTGGTTTCTGTTGGGTTGGACTGTTGTTATTACTTGGATTATTTGGTGGCTTTGTTTTTCATACGGTTGAAATCGTGTTTTTTAATTGATGCATTTTATGTCGCCAAGTGTCGTCCCATGAGCTGTTAGATAAGCCGACATTCTGGAGACTTCTCATTTTTACACCTAGGGTTTGAGTTTTAATGAGTGGCTTTTCATTCTCTCATACTCTCTCGAACTCTCTGCGTTCTCTCTGTCCGTTTTTCATCTTCACTGTTCTTCTACACTTTGAAATTTGAAAGCCTGTTAATGTGTAGTCTCTTGTATAGATATTGAGTGATTTGTAAAGAGCTATTGTTGTACCCTTGAGTGGATTGTTGTTTAGGTCAGTTTGAGGGCTTTCATTTGATGTAATCTTAGGTGATTTCGTCTGATTGTCTTGGTGTAATTTGTGAACGGTTTCTTGGTTTCGGTTAATATAGTGATTTCTTTCGATTGGCAAAAGCTCAAAAGGGGATTAGGAACTCTGGTTCTGAATATCTTGCCTTAGGGGAAAAATATCATGTTCTTTACTTGTTTTTCTTGTTGATTTGTGCATTTTTATTTCTGTTTTGTTGATTGAAAGTGGCTGATTATTTGAACATAATCATTACAGTGGTATCAGAGCATTCATACAGTGGTTATTGGCTCCGATCTGTGCAGATCTTAAAGTTTACCTCTTAATTCAGTTTTTTCATTTTATTTCCTGAAACCCTAATAAAGGGATTTGGATTTGGTGAGTTCGTTCCAGTTTTGCATTTGATGTGCAAATGTTTTGCTTATACTTTAAAGTTTCTTGCAAAACGTTTTTTTAAACTTGGGTCTGAGACTTTTCTTGACAATTCCTTTGTCCAGAAACCCTAAGACTAAGAGTTGTTTAGAATCTAAAGGTTGTCTTGATTTCAAGTCAAGGACCTTCATACAAAGCTTCTTCACGTGTTCTTTAATATTGTATAATGCAAACTATGATAATTTGTACTTGCTCTTATGTTTTTAAGATGTGTACTATGACTGTCTTACCAGGAATTAGCTCTGTGAAATTCTGAACATTGTTTATACAACTCTACAGTCTTTGTATAATTCGGTCATATCTTTTGAGTGTTGATATCTAGATTATTACTTGTTGTATATACTTCTGGTGTGCTCTGCCTGATCTACATACATTAATGTTTCATTCAAGTTTTTTGATTATGTTTGCGGAGTCAATAAATTATACTTTTGTTTCGAGAAATCTATCGATCAATTCCGACTCTGATCAATGAAAGGAATGACTAAATGCCAAAGGCACTGAAGTGAAGGTTCTTCTTCAAAATTCGAACTTGAAGTTTTTAATGGTAAAGGAGACGTTAGTGTCTGGTGTCAGAAAATGAAAACTCTTTTACTTCAACAAAAATGTGCAAAAGCCATTGGTGAGTCATGGCCAACTGATCTTGAATAAAGTAAATTTACTAAACAAGATGAAACTGCATGGAGTTCTATATTTTTGCATTTGTATGACAATGTACTTAGAGAAGTTGGAAAAACAAAGACTGTTGATGAATTGTGAAAAAAATTAGAAACCACTTATTTGAATAAAACCATGCCTAATAAGGTTTATCTGCTGAAACAGTTTTTTGGTTTTAAACTAGGCTCATCTCTTGACCTTGAAACTAACATTGATAGATTCAACAGATTATCCCGTGACATAGCCAACTGTGATGAGAAACTCTCAAGTGGACAGCTGGTTGTGATTTTATTAAATTCAATTGGTGAAAAATATAAAGATGTTTAAAATGCATTTGAATATGGTAGGAAAACTCTAACTACTGATGTGATCATTAACGCCTTAAGAACTAAGGAGTTAGAGTTGAAATTTGAAAGGAAAGAGTCTGTTAGTGGTATAAATCTGATGGTGAAGTCTAAATTTAATCCCAAAAATATTAACTTCAATAAGAAATTAGGACAAAAGAAGAAAGGAAATCAGAAAGATAAAATAAAAATTAAAGGTAAAAAGTGTTTTTAATATCAGAGGAATGTCATTTTATCAAAGATTGTCCTAAAAGATTTAGTGATAATAGAAACAATTCTAAAATTGACGGTGATGCAGCTTTAGCCTACAACAATGAGGCTAATATTGATGAGATTTATGTTGTCGTAACCTATCAACCTAGTCAAGAATGGATTCTTGACTCTGATTGTACTTTTCACATGTGTCCTAATAAAAAATGGTTTACTAATTTTGAAAATGTAAATGATGGTCAAATTTTAATGGGTAATCATATGACATGTCAAGTTAAGGGAATAGGAACTATCACTTTAAGAGTAAAGAATAATAATCAACTAGTCTTAGAGAAGACTAAATATGTTCCTGATCTTCAAAGAAATCTGATCTCTTTAGATGTTTTAGATGACTAACATTATGATTAATAAGGGATATATTAAAATCATAAGGGACTCTCACTTGATTGTTGAAACTCCCAAGAGACATGGTCTTTACATTTTGCACTCAAAACTTTTTTAACTCCACTTCAGCAACAATCTTTGTTCAAAATGATAAGTCACAAATATGGCACAAGAGATTGGGTCATATTAGTGACAAATGGTTGCAAATTTTTAAAAAAAAACAAGGTGCCTTTGGAAAAGATAACATTGAAAAACTCAGTTTTGTGATTATTGCATTTTAGGAAAGCATAATAGATTACCATTTTTTCTTGGAATGCATAAATCTGTGTTAATACTTGAATACTTACATGCTGATCTTTGGGGACTAGCTTATGTGCCTACATATACAAGTTTTAAGTATTTCTTGTTGGTCGTTGATGATTTTTCTAGAAAAAATTGAATTTTTTTTTAAAATCTAAGTCTGATACTTTTATTACTTTTAAAGATTGGAGAACTTTGATTAAAAACCAAACTGATAAAAGGATTAAAGTGCTAAGAACTGGTAATGGCCTTGAATCTTGCAATTATGAATTTGATGAGTTGTGCAAATTGCATGGTATATAGAGACACAGAACTGTGACACACTCCATAGCAAAATGGCTTAATTGAAAGAATGAATAGAACTATACTTGAAAAAGTTAGATGCATACTTTTAAGTTTTGGTCTTCCCAAGCTATTTTGGGGGAAAGCTGCAAAAACTGCTAATTATCCTATTAATAGAAGTCACGCTAGTGCTATACATTTTAAAACTCTTGAAGAAATGTGGAATGGAAAACCTGTTGACTTTAGCAATTTGAAAGTCTTTAGGTGTGCAGCTTTTGCACATCAATCTGAAGGGAAATTGGATCCAATAGCACTTAAGTGTGTATTCTTGGGTTATAGTGAAGGGGTAACAGGATATAGGCTATGGGTAAGGGAAACTAAAATGATAGAAGATCATTATAAGCAGAAATTTTGTTTTTAATGAAAATGATCTACCTTGTTTGAAAAAGGTTAACAGCACAGAACATTTAAGTCAAACTAAGAGTATAGAGAGAGAGACTGAAATGGAGGTGGAGCAAATTGAGGTTGATAATCAACCTCCTAATGTTCAGACCGGAGATGATGATGTTGAAACTCGTAATAATGAAGAGTTTGAACAATCTTAAGCTGATTTGGAAACAAATCAATCTTTAGATGATTATCAACTTGCACGAGATACTAGATAGGCAAAAAAGACAAGTGAGACCACTTGTGAGGTTTGATGATGAAATGTCTTTGCTTACTGTTCAAGGGTTCATTGAAAATGAACATGTATATTTTAATTACGCTAAGAGTAGCAAAGATTCCAAGCATTAGCTTGAAGCAATGCAAAATGAAATGGAATCTCTTAAAAAGAATAAAACATGGATTTTGACTAAAAGACATGAGGGAAAAAGGGTTGTTGATTGTAAATGGATCTTTAAGATAACAAAATGAGAATGACATTATATAAAGCTAGACTAGTGATTAAAGGCTTTACTTAAAAGGAGGGAATAGATTTCAATGAAATCTTTTCTCCAGTTGTAAAATTTACATCTGTTAGAGTAATTTTAGCTTTAGCAACTCAGTTTAACTAGGAATTGGATCAATTAGATATTAAAACTGCATTTTTAAATGGAGATCTTGATGAAACTATTTATATGGAATAACCAAAAGGTTTTGAAGTAAACAAAAATTTGACTTAGTATGCCTTCTTAAAAAGTTCTTATATGGTTTAAAACAAACTCCAAGACAATGGAACAAAAGGTTTTATACTTTTTTGCTTAGACTTGGTTTTAAAATGAGTAATTTTAATGCATGTCTTTATTGTAAAGGAAGTGGTAGTAAAAATTCACTCTATCTTCTTCTTTATGTTGATGATATGCTCTTGGCTAGTCATGACATAAAAGAAATAGAGTTAATTAAAAACAAATTGAAATCTGAATTTGAAATGAAGGACTTAGGTCCTCTTCAAAAAAATTTGGGTATTGAAATTAAAATGAATAGAATGGCAAGAGTGTCATATTCTAATGCAGTTGGGTTTGTTATGTATCTAATAGTTTTCTCTAGACTTGATTTGGCATTCTTAATAAGTGTATTGAGTAGATACATGTCAAATCCAGGTGAAGCTCATTGGGAAGCTATGAAATGGCTTCTTAGATACATTAAGGGAACTTATGACTTGGGAATTCAGTATAAGAAACAATTTGAAGGTGTTATCTTGAGGGGTTTCACTGATTCTAACTATGCAAGTGATAAAGATAATAAGAAATCCACTTCTGCCTAAATATATACTTTGTGTAATTCTTGTATAAGTTGGAAATCACAATTACAAAAAATTGTTGCATTA